AAAATCCTACTCCTTCTAATTCCCCCTCCCATTGACTATACTTAAAGAAACAGCATAATGAAATAAGAGAAAGAGAAATTCTAAAAGGAATATAAATGCAGGCCTGACATTGTCACTCCAACTAAACATCCATCCTAATAGCATCTCCAGATGCTGTTGAACTAAGCTTCCCATCAGCCCTTGTCAACATCGCTAATAACTGGAAAGTAAATTCGAGATATTTAGAGAGATGAAATTTGGAGAAATTTGTCTTCCACCAAACTGGTTGTCAGGTTCTAAATAACATCCAAAAGTAAATCAGAGTCCGAGGCAAAAGGTTCCTCAAAAGTTCCAATATATTAAGAGAGCCATGTTCGCACATTTGGGAAAACCCGAATCTGAAAGCTTCCAGGTTTTCCCACCCGGTTGAAAGTTCAAGATCCTGCCCCAACACCCACAAGTTCATCACATGGTCCAATCTGGCAGCTTCCACCCATCCAGTTCCAGCGAGGTGCAGAGACAAAGGATAACCTTGAGTTTCTAGGAAGAATGTTGTTATGGCTACAAATCACCGAACTCCATATAATCCCCCCTCCCTTTTTCCCACAATAGAAAATGAATAGTAGAAAGTATGGCAGGCCCCAAGTCCCAAAAAAAAGATGGCTTGCAGGCCTGACACTGGTTGAATCTAGAAGCAGTCATTTTCTTTAAAGTTTGTTGATATATCTGTTCTTTAGATTGAAATCTTGCCCTTCCTCCGAAGCCCATGCAGCAAGTCCTTCTGTTTTTTTCTCCCCACAATAGCATCCCTTTAGGATAAGAAGAAAATTAGTGGCCCAAGGTCACTTTATGAGCTTCCATGTGTGGGGATGGACTTGACCTTGAGGCTCCCCAATCCTTTTCCAGTTATACCCACACTCGTCCCTTTCTTTAAAAATAATAATAATAATCATCCTTCTCTTTTCCTACCCAGACTTGATGCATTGGACCCCAATGCTTATGAGGCTTTCAAAGCATCCCGTAACCTCCATGATGTGGTGGAGCGAGTGTTGAAGAACCAGCAAGAATCTCAGCCAGGCATGAAGAAAATTCTTAGTGTCCAGGCAGCTCTGATGACGCCGGTTCAGCCCATGCTGGTAAGGAACAGGTGGCGTCTGCAGAGATGTGGTTCTTCTCAGCTACAGCTGCAGGATCTAGAACAACCTCTTTGTCCACCCATGACATCCTGTCACGTTCAGGTTTTATTGTTAGTTAGAAAAGTATACATTTGATTTAAGCAGGTATTTATTTATTAATGGTCTTCCTTTTTTTTTTGTGAGAGAAGGTGGGGCAGACAGGCTATAAGAGGTCCTCTGATTTCATCCCGACATCTGCCTTGTGAATTGAATTGAATTGAATGTCAGCCATGGGGGACACAGGTGGATGGATGGGTCCCTTCTCTTCCAGATCTGTCCAGGCAGGGAGACGAAAGTCCCACCTAAAGAGATGAGGAAGAGAAGAGGATACAAAAAGAGAGGGAAAATATACATATCATTGCCAAGGGGGGTTCACGTCATAACTTCTCACGTTTGTGATGGAAAATCTTGGGAGGGCAGATTTCCCAGGGGCTTAAATTGGCACCAACCAAGGAGAAAAGCAACCTAGAACAGTGATGGCTGCCATGCCAAAAGTGGGGGGAGCACAGGGGGTCGTGTGCCTGCGTGCCACACCCATGATGCTATGCATGCGTGCACCCCAGCGTGCACGCCAGTGGTGAGTTGCAGGCGGTACGCCCCGGTACAGGCATACTGGAGCCAGCCCAGAGCACCTGCTATCATTCCGGTACGGTGCTCCGGAGGGCCCACGCGCCCGCCCAAGTCCTTACCTGTCCTTTAAGCCTTTGGCGCTTACGCGCAAATGCATGGTGCATACAGCACCAGCGCAATGCTCCAATGAGCAGCTGGAGTGTCGCGGAGGCTTGCAGAGGTGTCGCAGGCAGGTACGACGCATGCACGCACCGTGTGCACGCGTACCACAATCATCCATGTGGGTGACGCCGGGCCCGTTCCAACCATAGATGGTTTGCTAGTAGGTTCGTTTTTTGTCCTCCAGAGCCTTCAGGGAAGCCTCCAGAAGGCCCCGGAAGGCTTAAACTGGCTGAAGTTCCGGTTTGCCCGTAGGGGCCGGTTTTTCGCATTCCGGAGGCTTCGGGGAAGTTCCTGAAGCCTCCATAGGGCCTCCAGGGGGGCGGGGGAGGCCATTCTTGCCCTCCCCAGGCTCCTATAAAGCCTCTGGAGCCTAGGGAGGGCGGAAAAAGCATGCAAAAAATGGGAGGAGCGCCGGTCATGTGCGCATGCGTGCTGGGGTCATGCATTGCATTATGGGTGTGGCACGCCCACTCACGACCCCCCTGCACTCCCCCCTTATGGCACGCAAGCCAAAAAAGGTTCACCATCGCTGGTATAGGGTCTCCTGCTTGAGCAAGGGGCTGGACTAGCAGACCTCCAAGGTTTCTTCCAGCTCTGTTATTCTGTTAATTAGGTTGAGCTGAGAGAGAGGGATTGGCCAGTATGTTGCCAGTATGCAATGTAGTATTACTGTATTTTTCAGAGTATAAGATGCACCAAGATTTTGAAGAGGCAAATTAAAAAAAATGTTTTTGCACTCTGCAGACCTCCCCAAAATGGCCCATTTTTCACAAAAATGGGCCCATTTATTGTCAAAAAAAAGGGGGCATGCATAGCCTTTCGGGGGCTTATAGACTGCTCCTGGAGGTTGGGGGGGGGGCAAAAACGAGCAAAAAACAGCCTGTTTTTCACTCGTTTTTGCCTTCCCCAGCCCCCAGGAGCACTCTGAAAGCCTCCTAAAAGTTATGCATG